TAAACCTTTTTCCTAGTTCCAACAGACCTCACTACCTCTGAGGATGCTTGCCATAGATGCAGGCGAAACGTCAGGAGAGAATGCCTCTAGACCATGGCCATATAGCCCGAAAAAAACCACAACAACCTAGTGATTCTGTCCATGAAAGCCTTCGACAATACATTTAAAGCATATTGAAAGTCATTAGAAGAGCACATTGTTGTGGTAAAAGTCCTTGCAGCCAGTTCCTCAAAGGTTAGCTGAAAAGCTACCTGCCCACAGAAGGGCAGAAAGGAAGGAGACAATCCAAACTTCAAAAGAATTGGCTTCTAGAAATGGAAGCAGCCATTGAAAAGCCTCTTCCACGTTCCCATCAGATGTCCTTCTTAGGGTGGGGAGACCAAGAGAAGGGCATTCTCAGATTATCCCATTTCGGGAGAAATGCAAGAGATTTCAAAACCATAGAGTTGGAAGAGATCACAAGAGCCATCCAGTTCAACCCCCTGGCATTATACGAAATTTTAATGTGGTGTACATTCAAGTCATTTCCCACTTATGGAAACGCTAAGATGAACCTAGTAGGGTTTTCCTGGGGGTTTGCCTTTTTCTTTCTGCTGAGGCTAAGGATTTTATTCTTTGCTAAATTTTATTCTTTGCTGCAGCATTTCTCAACCTGGGAATCAGGACCCCTGGGGGTAACAGAGGGGTCACCAAAGATCACCAGAAAACACACCATTTTCTGTTGGTCAAGGGGGTTCTGTGTGGGAAGTTTGGCCCAATTCTATCGTTGGTGGGGTTTGGAATGCTCTTTGATTGTAGGTAAACTATAAATCCCAGCAACTACACCTCCCAAATGTCAAGCCTATTTCCCCGACTCCACCAGTGTTCACATTTGGACATATTGAGTATTGGTGCCAAGTTTGGTCCAGATCCATCGTTGTTTGAGTCCACAGTACTCTGGATGTAGGTGAACTACAACTCCAAAACTCAAGGTCAATGGCCACCAAACCCTTCCAGTATTTTCTGTTGGTCATGGGAGTTCTGTGTGGCACGTTTGGTTCAATTCCATTGTTGGTGGAGTTCAGAATGCTCTTTGATTGTAGGAGAACCATAAATCCCAGCAACGACACCTCCCAAATGTCAAGTCTATTTCCCGCAGACTCCACCAGTGTTCACATTTGGACATATTGAGTATTGGTGTCAAGTTTGGTCCAGATCCATCATTGTTTGAGTCCACAGTGCTCTCTGGATGTAGGTCAACTACAACTCCAAAGTCAAGGTCAATGGCCACCAAACCCTTCCAATATTTTCTGTTGGTCATGGGAGTACTGTGTAGCACGTTTGGTTCAATTCCATTGTTGGTGGAGTTCAGAATGCTCTTTGATTGTAGGTGAACCATAAATCCCAGCAACTACAACTCCCAAATGACAAAATCAATCTTCCCCCAACCCCACCAGTATTGAAATTTGTGCGTATTGGGTATTTGTGCCAAATTGGGTAGTGAATGAAAATACATCCTGCATGTTATGATTCATAACAGTATGCACGGATCCGTGCATAATGGTCCTCCAAATGATTAATAGCAGTAGCAAAATTAGTTATGAAATAGCAACGAAAATAATTTTATGGTTGGGGGTCACCACAACAGGAGGAACCGTATTAAGGGGTCGGAGCATTAGGAAGGTTGAGAACCACTGCTTTACTGCATCAGGAGGTGCTTGGGATTGAACTTTAAATCTTTAGCATTTTAAGCATGTGCTCCATCACTGAGCCCCTGCCCTTCCCTGAACTCTGGAATACAGCTGAACTCCATTATGTAATGCTTTCCAAACCTCTGATAGCAGAGGTATTTTTAACATCTGCATTTAAAATTGAAGGCAGGCTTAATCCTTATATCCCAAACTTTACTGAGTTTTTATCTCTACACTTGCAATGCAATGGAAATTACTTGGGATGGTGATAGGTCGAGACAGAATTCTGATCAACTTGAATAATTCCATTGATATACTTTAAGCCAACTTAGCACACTTAAAAGTAACTGATACCCCCATTTAATATACCGTTTGTATTCCCTAATCTTTTAAGAAGGGATTAAAGAGAAAAAAATATATAATGAAAATGACCAACTGGCCAAATCCCGATCAACCAAGTTGACTTTGTCAAAAACAAAAAGCTAAGAAAGTAATACTGTTAATCTACCTGGAATGTCAATGGGCTAATGAAAAAGAATCACAGACATACAAAGGATAAGCTGGAATTTAAAATGCTAAAGATAATATGTTCTTAAGCATGTGACTAAAAAGAATATCTTGCCATTTAATGCTTTGGAACTGGGCACAATTCAGAGAACATTAACTACGTTGAAACTCCACTAAAATCTTTACACTTTGAAGCTTAGAGAGAGGCTGATAAATTTTAATAAAATGTAAGCAGCCATCATATGACCTGCCCATAAAGGAAGGATAAGCAGGTAGTAAATGGCAGTTTACCCCATTCAGAGTCCTGTTGATTGCTTGAACTACAAACCCCACAATCTTCACCTTTGGATGTATAGTAACAAGACACGGATGAAATCAAATGTATAACCATCAAGTATCTTGTGTGATTTCAGTATCTGCAAGAACTGCAGGTTCAGAGTCTGGTGTGTCTAGCTTCCCAGAAAGCCAGATGAGACATAAGTTGAAGACAAAATTCGAGGTTTATTCTCAAAGGCCAGAGAGGATGTCAGTAGAGAAAGTACTCCAAAAAAACTGGCACACTGCAATTGTCAATACAGAGTATATGAATTACATTTTGATTCAGTTTACAGCTAGGATCCATTTCATGGTTGGTCCGGGATTCCCCCCGACGTCATTGCTGATTGTTCGCCACCATGGCAAGAAATTTAAATAAACATGTTATTGAATCATTTTGAAGAGTGTGCCTATTTATTGATCCATCCTTAAAAGGGGTGCAATCAGAAAGGAATGTGATGTAGCAATCAATAATGGGCTTAGTGTTCCAGCTCCAGTAGATACAATGGTGTTGATCCAGATAAGCAATGGGTGTTTATGGACGATGACCATCTCGATGGGTGTCATCAGATTGGATATGACTTGGGGCATAAAAGAGGAAACATTCCGATTGTATTAGGTGAAACAGGAAAAGAACACAGGGGGCTTTGACACATACTCAGTGTGTCCCCCCAGTTCATTGTGGAAGGTTTATGATAATCGAAGGGATCGTTTCCTGAGTTTGTGGTGTGTTGGGCTGCATTCCAAGGTAATTCATAAAGGGTTTCTATGGGACAAAGCCAATGCAGGCTTGCTGTATGTCTTAATGGTGCTACATTTCATAATTCATAATTTGGGCTTCAATTTTTGATAACAAGGCAACCTACTGTGTAATATGTATTGTTGTTTTATACAAAATGTCAAAACACCTCCTTGCCTAAGCAGTTTCCAATCTAGAAAAGGATGAGGAAGACAAAAGATGGAGGGGATAAATAGAGGTGAGATAAACTAGGAGAAAAATGTAATTGCTTCTTCGCATACATTTATGTAGGGAGGAGAGAGGCAGCATGGTGTGGTTTGAGTGTTGTACTATGGTTCTGGAGACCAGGATTCAAATCCTTGCATGGTCATAAAACCCATGGGGTGACATTGAGGAAATCATACTCTCCTAGCTTGAGAAGGCAGTGAACAAAACATGCCAGGAAAGCCCTGCGATCGTACCATAGGTTTGTGATAGTATCATCATAGGTGGGAAACAACCAAAAGGCACACAAAGATGGAGAGGGGAACTACACCACCCTCCCCTTGAGGACTGCATATCAAGAGCCTTTGCAGCCAAAGCTATTCCTTCCATCTTGTACGATGTCTGTGCCATTGTACAAGATGGAAAAAGACAATATGTCTAGGTCCGGAAGTTCTTATTCTTAGCTTCTGAGTTAATCCTGCCGGTCTACTGAGGCAGTCCCTCTCTGAAATGCTAATGGGGAAATCAGGACTTGTTCTTCTCATCCCAGGTGATATCTTCACCATGGAGCTGCTCCTAGCCATTGTTGCTGAATAAGGATGGGAATCTTGTGACCATTCAGATGTTGGGTTCCAAGTTCCTGGAGATCTATCCAGAAAAGCCAATGAGAAGGGAAATTGGTAGGTTCAGTCCAATAACATTGGGTGGGCTTCATGATTTCCATCTCTGCTGTAGAAACTTAAAAGGTGAGACAAGGAATCTGAATGGATATCCCTGTATGACTTTGAAAAAATGTAAACTGCCTTGGATGTCTTAAAAGAAAATGAATGAGGAGAGAGACAGTTAAGCCCTTTCATATTACAAGAACTTGTCCTGTAAAGCCTTTGCTGCAGGGGAGGGAAATCATACAGCTTTCTGAAATGAAGGATGGCTGGTGCATGCAAACAGCTGGTCCTCGAAGTTTCAAATGACCATCATGTGGTGGACTTTTAACATGCCATATCATAGAAGAAAATATACTAGAGCTTCCTTATCTGGAAATGCAATCTTCTGGATCAGTTATTCTTTAGTGATTTGATGTGGTAGACCTGCAATTATTTTGTCCAAATCTGCCAGGGAATTGTCACTGTATGTTGTTCCCATTCGCTAGAACTGTTTATTTCCTGGTAAGTCCCTAAATATGACAGTGAACAGCTTATGGGCCCAAGGTCACTCAGTGGGTTTCTTTGGCAAGCAGGGAATCAAACCCTGGTCTCCAGCATCTTAACCTTTCCACTTACCAAGAATTCATGGATTTTGAGCCTTTTGAGAAGTGCTACAAACATTTCTCCCAGACTGATTCTGCATGAGTTAAATATTTTTTTCCTTTGCAAGCCATTTCAGAAGGTAACAGATGGATCCTTGTCTGGTGCTTCTATAAACAGATACCCATACTGTACGCACGTACAAAGATTTTGTGTTCAATGACACACAGAAGGGGTTCCTTTGCAACATTTGGAATGCCGCAATTGAGAGCTCACTATTAGAACTATCTGAGAGAGAACGGAAGGTCACAGGAGCTTACCTGCTGCTTAGACTATTTTATTGGCATGCCAGTCATTCCTGTTCTAATTTGGTAGTAAAAATGTCCTAAACTCAACAGAAAACAATGCAAGGCAGAGGAAAACACTCACACCCCGGTCAAAAGGTTGTACATCTTTGCTGAAATGGAAAACCATCATGGTATTATAAATAATGTAGCATAATAATAGAAATGAAAGTTGCCTTCTGCAGCAATAAAGAATGGTGATAGGAAAAAAGGGATGGAAAGAAATGCAAAAGCAAAGATGCTCAAGTTTCAATCCAAATGCTCAAAAACAGCAAGATGGTCACTTAGGAGAGTCTGTTCTTTCAGCACAGAGTTGGGTGACAACTCGCCACAAGTCTTGGAAACTCCCCTGGCGTCTTAGCAGATGGCATAACGGACAAGGCGCGAGCCACGGATTTCCCTCACTCTCAGGCAGTGTCGCAAGATGGTAAGAATACGGTGGAAGCGTTTGTCTGCCTTCAGTTGCGTGAACTCTTCAACGTCCGCCTCCACAATAAAGAATTCACCTGAGAACACACAATTTTGAAACGTTATTTGAATCTCACATTTCATCCAAAGAGCTCAAGGCTGAATCCAGTGTTACAGACACTTCAGTCCTCCTTCTTTACTTTATCCTCACAACACTCATTTAAGATAGGCGAAACTATCTTACTCTCTATGATGGTGGGATTGTGTGTTCTTGGAGGTAAAAGGCTGTGCTGCTGGTGGGGTCCACCATGTCAGACATGATTTGGTGGGAAAGTTAGGCTGAAGGTGCCAAATAATTACTGGCAGCAGCAGCAATGCAAAATGACACCGGTGGAGTATATCCACATCGACAACTTGGGCAGTTTTCCAATTGGAATAGCAGAAACCATTTTCACTGTTGTATCTAAGAGCAGGAACACCTCTCTGTCCTTAAACACCACGCCAGTATAGTTAAACCAGCAAGCGGTTTATTGAAGGATATTTATAAGCAAAGCAGTAAAAATGGTAAAAATAGTATATTCCAAAGATACAAGATAGTCCATGAACTTCAAGGTACAAAAGTAAAAACACAAGATCCAAGGATGCAAAATCCAGGGAACAAGACAGCATGGGGATCCAGTAAATGAAACAGGAACCTGGCAAAGCTTGAAACATGAAATTAGAAATCCACTTGGAAACAAGGCTGTCATGAAGTTCCAACATTGATGAGACAGAGCTAAAACCTTTCCTTTGTCTGAATATAAAGCTTTTCCTGGCCCAAGAACCGAAAGGAAAGCATTCCGCTTGCCCTTACAACCAGATAAGGATTTCTTATCTTTCTTTTCCAGGAGATGGATTTACTGTCGCCGATTTTGAGAACTCTGTCTGAGTTTACAAAAGTCTTGCTTTCTATCTTTACCCTCATTAAATTCTGCACGTGGCAAATCATCCTCAGGAGATAGTTTCTCAGAGAAAGACTGCTGTGGGTCTCTCTCAGGAATTCGACTTTGTGAATCTGCAGAAGCACTCCGTTCATAAGACATCTCGGGCCTCTCAGTAAGGCCTGAGCTTGACTCAGGTGCAGAACTTCAATAGAAACAGTATGATTTTGGACTTATGCAGGAACAGTATATTATATATTTGCTTTGAGAAGTAGTGAGTACAATTATACAGTTTGAACTTTCATAAGATGTATACTTAAAGAATTTGGACTATTGATTAAGAATGACACCCTGTGTTCTCAACACCGAGAAACTACATCCTATCTATAGCTGAATCATAATAAGAAATGTGCCTGTATGGTGAATTAATACAAGATGTTTGTGAGTAAACAAGATACGTTATTTTCAAAGAAGACTTTATTTTTTTCTTATCTCGGAGTGTATATTTTAACCCAGGGGTCCTCAAACCTTTTAAACGGAGGGGCAGGTCACAGTCCCTCAAACTGTTGGAGGGTCAGATTATAATTTGGAAACAAAAACATGAATGAATTGCTATGCACACTACACATATCTTATTTGTAGTGCAAAATACACTTAAAACAATACAATAATTAAAATGAAGAACAATTTTAACAAATGTAAGTTTATTGGTATTTCAATGGGAAGTGTGGGCCTATTTTTGGCTGATGAGATAGGATTGTTGTTGTTGTTGTGGTGTGTTTTCAAGTCGTTTCAGACTTAGGTTGACCCTGAGCGAGGGCCGGGTAAATGACCTTGGAGGGCCGCAGCTGGCTCTCGGGCCTTAGTTTGAGGACCCCTGTTTTAACCCAAGAGGTTTCAAGGGAGAGTATATGTTTTGTTCAACTGCAGCTACAATTTCAACTTCAAAGAAACATTTTAAAACTCTGCTAGCCAAATACGTTTTTATGCCATGGCATGCCTTTGTCCCTGGCAGTTCAAAGACACGGCTTATCAGATTAACAGCTGAGTTACCTGTGTGCCATTACATGAATGCTTGTGAACATCACTTGTTCAAAGGGTTCACTTCTAATAAGGTCATGCCTTTCCTTGACTAGTGGTGATCGAAAGGTGGTCTCCAGATGTTCATGGAGATTCGCATTTGCCAAACGGATATGACATCATTTCTCTTTTTCAAAAAGGTTATGAATGCCATTTTCCCCCAAAAGTTTCACACATGAAACAACAACACCACCACCACCAACATCTTTTATGTACTATACAGAAAATTCGTTTTCTTCATACAGACAACTTATTGAGTAGTATTTAACTACACTTGCAATCTGAAAGAGTATAGTTCATATACAACCATCTCAGAACTGTACCATCTCATCCCACTATGGGTATAAGAAGTATCTTTCTGTTGAACATCTTTCTGTTGAAAAGTCAATAGAGAAGAACCTGACAAAAACACATTCAAGAAAAAGTTACCTTTTGTATCTTTGGTTTCTTCCTCCTGGAATCGAAAGTAAAGGTTCTTGGCAACACTGGACATTGTTTTGAGAGGCTGGTGCATGATCTTATACTTGCTCACTACTGCCTTATTGATTTCTTGAATGACTGCATTCACTTGGTTATAGGTGAGACGACCACGCATGTACCTATAAGAAGAAAACAGGTGGAAATCTCAAAGTTGCACAATGATGCCAAAACTTGCAACACCACTATTTTCCACAGCAACATACATAGTTAAAGAATCGTATATATTTGAACGCAATGTTCACACCAACCATTTGCTGCAGTAAAAACCAAGCATGTATTGCCAGTGGCAGTAATGTGTGAAGCTGCAACACGGTGTCTCTGTAGAAAACCAATCTGTTTCTATGTGTGTAAGTGAAAACAAATAAGAAAACTAACAAGAAAACCAACGCAACCCCTCTATTAGACCACACCTGGAATATTGTGTCCAATTCTGGGCACCACAATTCAAGAGAGATATTGACAAGCTGGAATGTGTCCAAAGGAGGCCGACTAAAATGATCAAGGGTCTGGAGAGCAAGCCCTATGAGGAGCGGCTTAAGTAGTTGGGCATGTTTAGCCTGAAGAAGAGAAGGCTGAGAGGGGATATGATAGCCATGTATAAATATGTGAGAGGAAGCCACAGGGAGGAGGGAGCAAGCTTGTTTTCTGCTTCCCTGGAGACTAGGACGCGATGGAACAATGGCTTCAAACTACAAGGGAGGAGATTCCATCTGAACATGAGGAAGAACTTCCTGACTGTGAGAGCCGTTCAGCAGTGGAACTCTCTCCCCGGAGTGTGGTGGAGGCTCCTTCTTTGGAAGCTTTTAAACAGAGGCTGGATGGCCATCTGTCAGGGGGTGATTTGAATGCAATATTTCTGCTTCTTGGCAGAATGGGGTTGGACTGGATGGCCCAGGAGGTCTCTTCCAACTCTTTGATTCTATGATTCTATGAAATCACCACCTGTCAGCTGCAAAAGGCCACCCTGCTCGGATCT